CTTCAATACAGCTGTGAGAACATCCCTGCTGCAAGCTTGCCTGCCTGCCAGGCTCCAGCAGCATCTCCACCACAGCCTTTGAAGCTGCCATCGACAGCAGAGCTGGACATCAGGAGGAACCACCTCTTATCAGTGTCTGGATGCTGAAGGAGCAGCCCAGAGGCAGGAGCCAGGGTGCAGGGTACATCTTTATCATGGCTCTGAAACCCAAGCGTGGTTTGAGTGCCCCGTAGCACCTTGGCAAAGGGCTCATGCTCCACACAGCCACTTCTCCAGCAACAGGACCTGTCTCTGCTGGCATGCGTAAGCTGGCTGGCAGGAAAAGGCCCAAGAGACTTGTTTGTCCAGGGCTCATTAAGTCCTGCTTCGAAGATCCAGGCCATGAACAGAAGGATTAAAAAGCCTGGCTTTAATTAACAAATCTCTCCTGAGAGCCGCTGGTTGAGCATTTTGCTGCTCTGGGCGGGAGGGCACGCCGAGGACAGGCAGCACCACAGAGACAGGCACTGCCAGAGCCAAGCAGCTTCATCCTCTGCTGCTGCCGGGGGTGATGAGCTGCTCCAAGCCTTGGTGAGGTCCTGGGATGCACAAAGTGACCCCATGCAAGAAAGACAATCCTTCAGGGGAGCAGAGCACAGCTTCTTCCCCAGAACACAAGAGTCCTTTCCAAAACAATCAGGAGGGAAGAAGAGTGGACCCTGGATCAGGATTACTCGGAACTATGGAACTATTTCCATCTCTAGCTCCCCTCCTCCTGCTCTAAGGACCCGCACAGTTTTCAGCTATGTCTAGGGACAGACCCTGTCTTTCAAGTCACTTTTACATTAAAACTGTGATTATAACCAGATCATTACAATTGTTCATTTCATTCCTGTATGCACCAATCACTGCTTCTCCCAAGAACAAAAACCCAGCCCTTCTGAGCGCTGGAGTTTGTTTCCTGGTCTTCATGTATTAACTCTACAGCACTCAGGTCCCTGTGAGGAGCTGTTTTATTGACAGCACTCCGAACACACAGGAGAAGACCTCAGGAACAGGCACCAGTGTTGTTCTCCATTGCAATTTGGGACAGGTTGCCCAGAGAAGCTGTGGCTGCCCCATCCCTGGCAGTGTTCAAGGCCACTGGTCTAGGGGAAGGTGTCCCTTCCCATGCCAGGGGGTTGGAACTGGATGAGCTTTAAAGGTTCCTCCAACCCAAACCAGTCAATGATTCTATGAGTTTAAAAGAAATTCAATGAAATTGGAAATACTGCCCAAAAGAGGTATCTCCAAGTGGCACAAGTAATGCCAAAGCATGGGACCAAAGCAGGGAAGAGATGCTGCAGCCACATATCCTGTTGATAAGGTAAGACCTGTCTCATCACCGAGGATGCTCAGCTGGAAGAGTGTGGTGGCTGCTGGTGGGCTTTGCTGGTAGAGAGACCCTAGGGAGCAGTCTCACATTTGGGATGCTTTTGGAAAACCCCTAGCATGGGGGGTCCTGCAGAAGCAAAGCCCTGTCAGTTCTCCTGGACAGGGAGGACACTGGAAGTCCACCTTAAGTCAAGGTCAATAAGTCATTCTACATCTTTCATCACACAGGAACATGAATTAATTAGGAATGGTAAAACACATTAGACAAATTATGTGAAAATCTGCATCTCAGGAGAGGCTCAGCTGCAGCATCACCCGGCAGCACAACGAGACCTGCTTGCGACAGGCTCCTCCGCTGAGGTATCAACTCAATAATGACTCATTTCCCTTTTGTGTCCACAAATCAATTGTAATAATGCCTTAATATAGCTGAAGTATCTACAAATCCTCCTTTATCCCCAACAATGTCAGGAGAAAATCCGATCTTGTTATTAAAATCGGTGATTACTCACAGTATTGCTCCCAGACACACTCCAACTTTGACAGGGGGGAGGAAAAACACCCTGACTCTTAACCCAAATAAAAACCACCCGGGTGCTGCCAGGCCTTGCCCACACCATCCTCCCAGCCATGGAGGCACTGTGGATGACAGCTGTACCCCCAAGAGTACTGGTGAGTCCCCACCACAGTGGGAAGCAGAAGGAGGAAGAAAAGAAAGAAAAGGAAGGGCTCACCCCTGCCAGGGCTCAGATCAAGCCACGGGACAGCCCTGGACTGTTTGCAACAAACCAGAACTGTCAAAGATTACGGTGTCGGAATTCCCAGGAGTCTTTGTATTTTATAAGCTTATAAAAAGTATTTGATTGGAGTATTTTATACTTCAATCAAATTTCTATTTGGGACTCAGTGTAGGTAAATAACAGCTCTTTAATTATCACAGTCCTGGTATAATGCTTATTAAGTCATACTTAGGGCCAGATAATCTAGCCTATTTTGGATCCCTCTATTTAATCTTTCCTTTCTGGCAAAGGTCCTGGTGCTGATGTCCACATCCCCAGTATTTTCTGGTTTGCAGAACAAATATTTAGGGGGGAACTCCAGGTGGGAATACAGGTTAGAGTGCCTGAGATGGCATTTTCTTTAGATTATTAGTGATCCTATAAACTCCCTCAAGACTGTCGAGCTTCTCTGGTGCATCTAATCCCGCTCCTACTAATGCCATTGTCGCAGTTCTCAACTTCTCAGGCTGTAATCTCACCTGCTCCTCGTTCCCTATACCACAGGTCAAGGGGTGTCCTGGCTAAGCCAGTTGTTTGGCCCAACTGTAATCATCTCCGGCACATCCTGACCCCTCCCCCCCCGGCTGCCGTTCCGCGCTCCCGGCGGCTAGCACAGACCTAAGCCAGCAATGTTCAATTACATTTCCCTTAATCCCCCTGTTGATCTTGCAGCCCCAGCCAGCTTTTTCTGTCTGGAGGAAGGGACAGATTGGAGGTGAATCACTCGCTGCCCTGTCCTAAGAAGATGAAGGTCAAGATAATGGGATCTCGGTGTTTCTGAGAAATGCTTCTTAATCAGCACTTCCCTTTGATGGCTATTCTTTAATTCAAAGTTCAGGTTTTAGGAGCTGCCCAGGTAACCCCTTTGAACTTCTGCTGAGGTTCACATGTGGGTTGCCACCTAAAGCCACAGAGCAACAGACCCGGGGCCAAACGCTGACCTGCCAAGCTGGCACTGAGCAGGCTAAAGAGACTGCTGGAATAACACCCACATCCGAACATAAGAAACTCATGGAGGTGCCTTTTTTCCCCAGAAAACCATTTTCTGAGCAGCTACACCTATGGCGGATGTGGGCCTCCTGTAAGCACCACTTGGTCCTCAGCAGAGAGGGATGATTTCTGGAGGACAATCATTTATCTCAGGTATTTCAAGAGGATGAAGAAAGCTGATGATGGCATTAAAAAACTCCACATCGCTATACTTTCCTGCAGCACATCCCAAGACCCTGTAGAGGGTCTGCAAGACCCTTACACACAGACTGGGAGAAAGGAAGAGTATTTGGACCCAGCAAAGTGGCTCACAGCAGGCTGCAACATCTATGTGCTTCTTCCAGAGGTTAGTGCCAGCCCAGTCAGGCTTTTCTGGGTCTCCTCCTTCAATGAGCTAATCTAACCCAAAATCTAAAATCCCATCAACTCAACCAACTCAACTCCATCAACTCGGAGATTAAAATATCGTATTTCTCTGAGCTCCCATGAACCTCATAAACAGAAGACGGGGGGAAGGGTCAGAAAAGCTGCTACATGCAGAAAGCCCCGTTACCCAAGAGCTGGGAACAGCCAGTAACGAGTCTATAATTAACCTCAGGTCTCAGGAAACCTGAACTTGTTTCTCTGGTGAGTTTGACTTCCCGGGGGGGTCCTCAATGGCCATCCAGGGACCTCACCAAGAGGCCCACAACTGCTCTCTGGGATGACAGGCTGTGTTCACAATTAAAACTCATGGTGGAGGCTGTGAGGTGGCCCCCCAGAAATCCTAATGCAGCATCAGAGCTTTTTATCAAGTCCATGGAAGGGCAGCAGCATTTATGCTGCTGGATACACAGAGATGAGAGGTTATGCTGGATCCTTTTGGGCTGAGTTTCATGAACCAGTGACTTGTTCTCACGTTCTTACGGATATGACCTTCTCTCTTCCCTTCTCTCCCATGCTTTGATGTTCAGAGCTCCATGGAAGGACATCTGACTCGTTCAGTGCTCATACCCTCACCCGTGGGCCAAGCTTTCCCAAACCAGCTCACACAGCCCTGTCCCCAAGGAAAGCTGCAACGCCCTGCATCATCCATTGGGGTGGCTTCCCAGCAAGACCTGCAGCAGGGCAGGGGCAGGCAGCTGGGAAGGGCTTGGTTTTGTATTTACTTTTTATTATTAGTTTAATTGTAAATTTTAATGTAATAAATTCAGAACGTTCTGGCAAGCCTCCCCCCATCCTGCTCAGGGGAAGGGCTCTGGCCCCAGGCTCCTGCATGGCTCCTCAGCACTGCAGCTGCTCACCATCCACAGGGAATTAGTTAGGATGTGACCTTATTTTAACCTCCCAGCTGCAAAAGGTGCCAGCGGCTGCTTGGCAGAGGCAGGCACAAGGACCAATATTGCTGTGAGAGCTCAGACTTCACAAAGGGATGCACATCATGACAAGAGATACTGGGGATAGAGGGATGCTTGAGCTGCCCCAGCCCCCCCTGGTGCCCCTCACAACTCACCCAGCCCATTTGCGCAGTCGTAGAAATCAAAGTAGTGTGCGGTTCGATCCATCCCATATGGTCCCATGAGTGTCCTGGGAGAGAGAAGAGAAGCATCTTTCTTTCACAGGCTAAACCAAACAGATTCCCAGGTGCCCAACCAACATCCACACAAGCACATCCTTCCCACCACCCGAGACATTGCCCATGGAACGATGTAGACACACAGGTTCAGGGACATGGTGCCACATATTAAGCCCACAGTGACAAAAATCAACCCCTTCCCACCCACCCCTGAAGTTTCTACAGATAAATGAGAGAATATGTGCATGGCTGGACATCATCCTCCCCACCCAGCAAATCTGATGGACCTGTCTGTGATTCATTACCCCAGATTAACGGGACTGGACAGCTGTCCAGCTCCCAGGAAATGAGATCAGAGCTCGGACCAATGTTCCAGGAATAAACCAGTTTCACAAATACAGACAGCCTGTAATGAAGACGGCGAGGCATGATCCATGGGCAGTCTCCATCCCCGTGGCAGGGGGGTTGGAAAAGGGGGATACCAGATCCGCTGAGCTGCTTCAGGTCTCTGCCTTGCCAGGTTGAGGTGGGAGTTTCTCATCTCGCACCAAAATGGGTGGCAGAGCATCATACACCTGAGCCTCCCACAAACACCCTTTGGCAAGGTGACACCACACTCCAAACCTGGACCCACTGGCACTTCTCCTCCTGCAGTGGCCCCTGGTGGTCACCCCATGAGGATGGGTGGACCTTGATGTGAGAAACCCAGAATCAGGTGGGAAACCAGGAGTGAGGGGCTCCAAAAACACTCCGCTTCACAGGATTTAATTTGCATTAGAAAAGGAGTTTCCGAATCAATATCAGATCCCAAGCCTGGACACACCTAAGGAGAGACAACACTGTGGGGTACAACAGGCTCCAGTAAGTTCAGCAGATGCAGGAGAGGAATAAACCTCAGAAATTCTCTTTTCAAAATACCTCTCAAAATATCCAGCTGTTCTGCAAAGCCAGGAACACCCCATCTAAGATTTGGACTGAAAGCTTTTTCACCTCATTAAAAATATCCCCCCCCACCTTGATATTCTTGCAATGATTCACATGTTCAAGAGACTGGACAAACAACTGGCCACATCTGGCTGTCTTGGAACTGTAAGGTGTCCCAGGAAGCCAGAGCAGCCCTGGGCCCAGACTGCTTCAATTTACCAGGATTTTCAGAGTATTTTGAGTAAATCACCAAGGAAACTCCACCACGAATGAACAGAAATAGCTCAGACGGGGCTGAAACGTGACATAAGGACAGAGGTTTTGGTAAAGCAGATGTCTACTTGATACAATCAACTTTTATCCCTGTGTGATGCCTGAATGGCGGAGCAGAAGCAAGCTTTGCTAATCTAGAGGTGCAAGAAACCCAACAACAGGCACTAGTGATGACACCCTTGTCTCTTTCTGCGGCGCACAAGACACCTCTGCCACTGCACCCTGGTCCTGGAGAAGCCACAGCAGATGACCCTTGACTAGAGGTGGCCACCACACCCCCCAGTACTGCCCCATGCCTCCTCCCCAGTCCTTGCCCCAGCTGCAGGGGGATTACCTGCTGATGATGATGGCTCCCTTGTAAAGGACGGGGCGCGCGGGCCTCTTGCTGGCGGCGGCAGCCCAGCCGTGCCTAGCGCCAGCCGCTCCGATTTGGCAGGAATCCGTTCAAGCGATGACAAAAAAAACCCCAAAACCAACAACAAAAAACCAGGAAGGGGGGGAAGGATGGAGGGGGTCACGTGGTCTCCCCATATGCATGTTAATTCCACCCAACATTAACACAGATCAGCTAAAAACATCTCCAACTTTAGATTAAAGCTTATGCAAGCCAAAGCCAACACGGCCCATCGCAAGTGCCTTCCCAAAGCAGCGGGGTGGGAGCTCTGCCAGCCCCCAGCAGCGCTGTCGTGCTCATCGTTAACACAACAGGATAATTATGTGGATGAATCCTATTGTGTATCTTTGGGAACAGCCCCTCCAGGGATGAAGGGCGATGTTCAGTGCAGGACGTGTGCTCACCATCCCTAAAGGCTTAAAATCCATCACAAAGCTTTGGAAGTAATAACAGACTGTAGCATTTATGGGTTTAGGGTGGTTTTGTTGTTTTTTTCTTTTCTTTTAGCATCTTTTTCAGCCCACAGAATTTCCTTCTTAATACAAACCAAGTTCAGCTGTTCCACTGTCTGTTGGGAGGTTAGAAGTATGATTTGCATTTAAACAGCCTATTCCACCCTGTCGTGATGCATGTCACCCAGCAGGAGAAGCAGCATGAGCCCATGAGCCCTTTTTTGTGGGGTGTGAGGGTGGAGGGATGAAACCAGATTATCCAAGGCTGGCCAGTGAGCAGGCATACACCTAGAGCAAACCCCCTCAGGGCTTGGCAGCAGCAGGGCTGCGGTCTTGGTGGGCACAGTGTGAAATGAAAAGAAATTCCCAGGAGCTGCAGGCAGTGGGAGGACACAGGTCTGGCATCCCTACGAGCTTTGGGGACAGCCAAGGTCACGGTAAGCTCTTGGCCCTAACTCCATAATATCATATAGAATCATAGAATAGTTCATGTTGGAAGGGACCTTAAAGCTCATCCCAGGGGGTTTCAACCCCCTACCACAGGCAGGGACACCTTCCACTAGAGCAGGTTGCTCCAAGTCCCTGTGTCCAACCTGGCCTTGAACACTGCCAGGGATGGGGCAGCCACAGCTTCTCTGGGCAACCTGTGCCAGCGCCTCAGCACCCTCACAGGGAAGAACTTCTGCCTCAGAGCTCATCTCACTCTCCCCTCTGGCAGGTTAAAGCCATTCCCCCTTGGCCTCTCATGATCAGTTTATAAGATTTTGATAGTCCTACCCTGTGAAATAAATGAAAATTGAATCAGAGGCCATCAGGGCAGAGGAGCAGAGCTCAGCTTCCAGTTTGATCTCCAAACCCTCAGATCCATCACTCCAAAACACAGATTGACCCTGGAAAAAGCATCAGATGTTGATGTTGCTCCTGCTGATTCACATCTGTCTGTCTTGTTAAAAGAAAGCTTCAGCAAAATAGTTTCTGAAGTTTTTCAGTATTTTAAACTGAGAACTTCCACATTCAGGAAGGATTTACAAGCCACACAGAACCTGTGCAAGGGTTCCGGTCCTGCTCTGTAAAACCCATGTTGAAGGCAAACCTCCCACCGGCAAAGGGGATACGCCATATGGTCAGGCTCTTCACTGAGGTGGGACCTAGCTGAGCAACTTCAAGTAAATCCCACTGGAAAACCCAGGCTTTCCTTACCCGAGGACACTGCTGACAGGACTTTTTATTTTGAAATAAGGCATCGTGCCTTCTCCAGCACCATCAGACTGACCACCGCCAAGAACAAGCAGGTGGAGAAGATAGTGGCAACATAGACTCACAGAATCAACTAGGCTGGAAGTCCTATATTTGGAGTTCAGAAAGAAAAGAGGGGAAGAGGATGCCTGAAACAAGCACAGCCAAGTACAGTTATTTTTTATCCTCATTCAAGTCTCCTCCTGCCTTTCCTATAGACTACAAGCAAAGAGCGCTGGGAACAGCTGGCCCCCAAGATGTGGAGGTCATGGGTTTAATGTCACTTGAAGCATCAATGGTCAACATGGGGGCAGAGAGATACCCAGCAGAAAATGCAAAACTGCATGGGGAGGCATTGCTCAAGGCTTGTCTCTTGTGACACACATTTTAGGTTAAAACTGGGGGTTCTTTGCAGCCCATCTGCTCAGGCAGGATCTTCTCCAGGTCATGTTAAGACCACACAAGCAAAGACAGAGCCATCAGCCTCCTCAATTATTCCAGCCCCGACACTGAGGCTGTAAACCAGGAACTAATCTTTTCATGCATCTTAACATTCAGCACTGACTGATGGTGAAGACATCTGGAAGGCTTGTGCAGCCCAAGCCACAGCCTGTGGAACTCCATCAGTTGATGGAGAAGCCACCTTGTCTGAAACTAGAACTAAAGAAATGTCTCCAGCATGTAAAAGGAGATGTCTGTCTGCTGGTGGGACAGCCAAGAAGACAACTCTGCTGCTTCCCCAGCTGGAGAGGCCCAGTGCTGTGACAGAGCAGGGCTGTTTGCCCAGGGACACACAGCATCTCTGACTTCCAGGCTTTGAAGTGACCAGCTCCTGCACCTCCATGATGTTAGTTTCTCAGCTCTTTGTGAAGGTCTGCAGACCCTGTGGGAAGGATGTGCTTTTCTGATCCTCTCCACACGAGCTTTCCTGGCAGCACATTTTAAATTTGGATTTTCTCCTAAATACAATGACAAAATCCTCCTCTGCCTCCAGCTGAGGGGCAGCTGCCTTGTGGCTCCCTCCCCTTCGGCACCCAGGACAGGAGATTCCCACCTTCTTGCTTTAGAAAGCACCATTAGGATCAGAAATATAAACTAATAGTTTAGGTAGGGATGCAGCAAAATTGATGAGAGTTTGTTTTCTAACCAACAGGAAATCACAAGCAGATGCAATTCTCTGCTTTGCTATTATCATAGAATCATGAATTGTAGAATGGTTTGTGTTGGAAAGGACCTTAAAGCTCACTCAGTTCCAACCCCCTGACACAGGCAGGGACACCTTCCACTAGAGCAGGCTGCTCCAAGCCCCTGTGTCCAGCCTGGCCTTGAACACTGCCAGGGATGGGGCAGCCACAGCTTCTCTGGGCACCCTGTGCCAGCGCCTCAGCACCCTCACAGGGAAGAGCTTCTGCCTAAGATCTAACCTATTAATATCCATCTCTCTTCTACATGTTGGTCAAGGGACACTCTGGGAAAGCAGCCTTTAGCCTGACTGTGGATAAAAGTATCTTCTACATTGAGCTGTCTTGTCTCCTTCCTTCCCTGCTTCTTGGGAAAGACCAACGTGAGCACCAAAGTTGATGAACAGCGGCCACTGAATCACACTTGCAGCTGGAGGAACCACAAGTGGTTGTCCCCACAGAGCAGGGCTGGCTTCTCACAGGCAGGCGCTCACTGCAGCAGTGCTGGCTGCGGGATGGGGAATTTTTAGGTTTATAGTGAAAAATAGCTA